TTTTTTTTTTTTTTTTTTAGAACAACCATCCACTGCTAGTTCCAACAAATTCCAGCTTTCTATTCACAAGGATTTTCAACTCAATGAACTTTGTTTTTTGCCACTCACAGAATGTTAGCTACCATCGTTATATCATGCGAGCACTTGCGCGATTGCCTGATGGGCCAATGTTTGGAAAGAAGTCACTTGTTCGTACAGCTTTAAGAGTCATATCAGGCAACAATTCGCTGATTACTGGTGCTTATCGTCACGCCTTAAGTACAAAATTTTCAGTTTTTTATCTGCTCTTAGTACTAAATAGTTTCATTTTCAACAAAGATGCGTAATAGTCCTATTATCTGGTTTTAATTGATAATTATTTTTAAAAAATAACTTTTGGTTCTGTCAAAATTAGGGAAGAGAAGATGCCAGCTCTTTTGCAGACTGTAAGTCTTTTCATAAATTTGCTGCAGTTCAGAAGAATTTCTGTTTTAGGTTTATTCTTTAGCTGATCTGCAAAAAACACTTATGTAAAGCTCTGCAGCAAATGTTATGGTTGAAATGGCTTTTTTAGGTGAGTATTTACGGGTTTGGTCTGATTCTCCTGATAATCCATTGGTTTGCTTATTAGTAGCCCTGACATTTGTGCATATGGCTTGTAAGAAGGACATTTACAGTCGCCACATGATTGCATTAAGAGTGCGTTTTATTTTTTTATTGTTTTTTATCAGATTTCACGAGTTTTACGTGTAACTTTTTAGGGTTTAGCTTTCATGAAGCGTTATGAAAAGTTACGGGGTCCTTGCCAGGAAACTTATTATAATGTTGCGCGTATGTTCCACCAGATGAATATCTTACCTGTAGCGATACACTTCTATAATAAATGTTTACAGGTTGGTGACCGTCTTCTTATGTTATTTTTTAAGCAGTTGCATTAGAAGTGTTTGTTCTGTGAATTTTTCCACTAGTTATTCCTAAGCTGCGATTTAACTAGTAAGAAGCGTAAAGAAATTACTTTAACTGTTAGTCAGGTGCCGGAAAGATGGAATGTAATTTTAGTTATTGATTGCTTTTTACAGGAAGAAATCCCTCAAGTTCAAATTACAGATTTTGACACAGGAACACTAATTAAAGTTAAGGCTGAAAGGTTGGTTTTAAAGTTGCCACATGGATGCTGTTATAATAGTTCTCATTTATTTATTGTACAGGCTCGGTCTTTTTTTTAACAGTATGGGAAGTTTTTATTTAAGGTATAATCTGAGACCTATGGCTGCTCATAATCTAGCGTTAATTTATCGAGAAAGTGGGAATATATCCAAAGCAACGATGCTGCTTAAAAAGTATTGTGTAATTGAATAGTAATATTACAGGTAAATATTTAATTGTTTCAGAATAAATAATATTTTCCATAGTTTTACAGGCAGTTGCTCTAGCAGACTTTCAGGAAAAACCAAATTAACTGCAATATTTCTTGGCGGTAATTTCGCGGATTCTGAGATCTCACAGTATCGAAATTGATAAGGAGAAGGGGTACAGTTCCAACTGACGATTCCGGAACCAACCACTTTTAATTAAGCTACACTCTACGCCGGTTGCTTGTGTGTAGTACTTTGAAAACTGCTTTTGTACAGAGCCGATTGTTGTAAAAATTATTATTCTGTGAATTATTCATTTTTGACTATAAGATGCCTGTTTAATCGAGGTTATCAGAATTTCTGTAAACTTCATATGGTACTTACAAACTGCTACGGGTATAGCATGTGTTTATTTGTGTTTGCGAATACACGTCTTACTTTAACGTCATGGAAATGGCTAACTATAATTATTGGTTTGCCTATAGTTACTTTTAGCAATGTTCCATTTAATTAGCAGGAGTTTCTGAGGCATAAGTTTTGAAAGTGTGTGATAGATTAAAACGTGAGATAAGACTGATTTATTGAAAGATTATCTAAGAAAACAGTGGACATCATGCTA